CAAGAACTGTGAGACAATTACAAAATGTGCAAAAAAGCCAAAACCGGTTTGGCTCAATGGATAGAGCGTCGGTCTGTGGACTGAAAGGTCCCAGGTTCGATTCTGGTCAAGGGCATGTACCTTGGTTGTGGGCACATTCCCAGTAGGGGTGTGCAAGAGGCAGCTGATCGATGACTCTCTCTCATCGATGTTTCTAACTCTCTATTTCTCTCCTCCCTCTCTGTACAAAATCAATAAAATATATATTTTTAAAAATGTGCCAAAAAATTCATTAATGTAGTCCATTACATCAAACAGGTAAAGAAAATGTATATAGTCTCATCAACAGAATAGTATTTGACAAAATTCAACACTCAGTTATTATTTTTTTTAAAAACTCTAAGAAAACTGATAGTTGGAAACTTCCTCAACTTGATAAAGAATATCTACAAAAAAAACCTTTTAAAATAACCTCATACTTAATGGTAAGAAACCAGAAACTTTCCTCTTAAGTCTGAGAACAAGGCAAAGATGCTCCCTCTCTCCTACTCAGCACTGCATCAAAGTGCCAACTAATTCAAAGGGACAAGGAAAGCAAATAAAAGGAAACAGACTGGAATAAAAACAACTTTGTTCACAAACAAGACTGTTTATATAAGCAATCCAAAAGAATAGGAGGAAAACCCTATAAGACTATTAAATGGAAATAGTAAGGTTACAGAATACAAAGTTAATATATAAAAGTCAATTGTTTTTTAATATGTCAGCAATAAAATTTTGAATGTAAAATTAAAACCACAACAGCATTTATGTAGCAACAAGCTATGAAATACTAAGGTGTAAATTTAACAAAATACATGCAGGATAAATATTTTAAAACCACAAAACTCTGATGAGAGAATATCTAAATAAGTGGATAGATACTCCATGTTATAGATAGGCAAACTCACTATTGTTCAGATGTCAATTCTGCCCAATGTAATTTAAAAATACAATGCAATCCCAATCAAAATCCCGCCATGTTATTTTATAGATACAAACTAAAGTTTATATGGACAGGCACAAGACACAGAATAGCCAACACAATACAGAAGAAGAAGCTGAGAAGAGCAATCTGATTTCAAGACTTCAAATAAAGCTACAGTAACTAAGGCAGCATGGAATTGGTGAGAGAACCAACAAGTAGATCAATGGAACAGAACAGAGGCCAGAAACAGATTTCCACAGTCAACCTGTACCACCTTCTCAATTTTTTCTGTAAATCTACAATTGCTCTATAGAAATAAAGTACATTAAACATTTTTTTAAGTCACTCTAGGAATCCTCCTTTAAATGAAGCCAGTCTGGAATCTTTAAAAATAAAATTTCTCTAAATTTCCTCTATTTAAATCTCACATCTCCCCAAGATTTTATTTGGTTTCATACGTCCTAGGTCATTTTTGTCAGAATTGAGGGGTGGGGAGTGAGAATTCAAACATATGTCCTCAAACTGCCGCCTGTTCTCCAAATGGTATACCATATGTTGTTGATGTGTAGAATTCTCATTGTTGACATTTATGAATTGACTATAATTGTACTTTGATTTCCTTTTTGACTCAAGTTAATTATAGGGGCGTTTAAATTTCCAAGTGGTATTAAAAAAAACATAATACTAATGTTAGCTTTTATTGCTTATAAATTGGCACAAGTGTCACTTTTTGGAATCTATTTTTTATAGTTTCATTATGACCAATTTTTGAAATGTTACTTTGATATTTTATAGTAATGTATATTATTCTTAAATTTGTTTTTTTTCTATCTATGTATAATTGTATTTGTTCCTCTGTAAAGCTCTGAACATTTTAGTAGCTTATATTTAGTGTTAGGTTATTAATATAAGTTTATTACCATATTTTCCGGCGTATAAGACGACACCCTAATTTTACAGTTAAAACATAGGTTTAGGCCTATATTCGCTGTATAAGACTACCCCCCACTTCAAAGAAAAGACTTACTTTGCCGTCAAGATCTGCAGGTAATTTTTGTGCAATTTTGGTCTTTTGCCCCCGATTTTCGGTTGACTTTTTTTCGGTTCAAAGGTCGTCTTATACGCCGGAAAATATGGGTAATATTTTCTTGCCATGATGTTTTTCTTGCCATGATCTTTTGTTAACAGAAATAATCCCTTTATCCCACGAAGTGCTATTTGCCTTAAATTTAATTTGTTGGATAGTAGTATTGGAATGACTTCCTCCTTCTCATTTTTAGTTGCTTGACATACCTATCTATCACTCCATTTGTAAACTTTGATAACCATTTGGTTTTAGAGGTTTCTCTTCTAAACAGGACACGGTTGGATTTGGGGACAGTTTTGTAACCAGTCCTTGTTTGTTTCAGTGAAGGGCTCAAGCCATCTCTGATTGTGACAAGTCATGTTTGGTGTTATTTCAGCCACTTCATTTAATCTTTCTGTCTTAAATTCCTACCTGTTCGCTTGTGTTTTCCTTTCTATTTGGTAACTAATTATGGTAGGCTAAAAGTGGCCCTCAAAAAATATCCAGTTCCTAATCTCTAATGCCTATGCATGTTTACCTTATGTGGGTGGGGGTGGGGGGGAAGAAACCACAAAAATCTTTGCAGATGTGATTAAACTAAGGATCTTTGAAATGTGGAGATGACTGCATTATCGTGGTGAGTCCCCTACAATCACCTTATAAGGGGGGAGGTGACACAGAGACAGAGGAGGGATTGTAGCCATGGACTCAGAGATGGGATGGGTGTGGTCACAAGACAAAGAATGCTGGCAGCCACCTGCAGCTGGAGAGGAGGTCCTGATGTTCCTCTAGCATCTCCAAAAAAAAAAGGGGGGGGTGGGAGAGAGTAGGGCCTTGGGAACACCTTGATTTGAGCCTCTGTAACTGATTTTGGACCTCTGGTCTCCAAAAATGCGAGAGAATACATTTATATTGGTTTAAGCCACAGAGTTTGTGGTGATTTGTTCCAGTAGCCATAGGAAACTAATAAGATGTTTTTCTCCATTTTTATTTCATTCTAGGATAGCTTATCTTTAATTTTAAATTTAATATCAAAGTAAAAAAGCAAAAGAGATGCCTCCATGCCCACATGGAAATGTAACAGGACTGCTTTCCTTCTACCCTCTCTTCTCATTCAACTTCCCAGATTTTCTTCTGAAATACTTCACAATTATATTCATAGTTGTTTGTAAACATTTTGTGTTTTTTCTGACTCATTCCTTACCTTGCTATTATTATTCAGTCCCCTTCCCTCTTCTTGAGTTCTTCATTTTGAAACAATTCCCAATCGGCAGAAATATTTCCTCAAAGAAGATTTTTCAGGAATATGATGTCATATATATATATGAATAATTCTGTGCCTTTGCATAAAAATATATTCATAAAGTTCTCATACTTTTTCTTTCAAAACTGTGAACATGTTTTGTTACTCTTTTCCACTTATCTTTGTGAAGAAAAGCATGACCATTGGAGATGCATTTTCTAAGTAACCTTTAATATTTTCCCCTGCCTAGTGTTCCCAGAGCCCTGAAATTAAATACCCTTTTTGAGTGTCTCAGAATAGATTGTGTTTTATTAACGTCGCCTGCTTCTCCGGGAGCTCTTCACAGTGACCTTTCTTCCTGCTCCGACTTCAGAGCAAGTGTCAGCCACCTCACTCAGTCCCGTCTCCGATGGCCCTGCTGCTTCTGACCTTGTCACCGCGCGGCATCCCACCTCCAGGGTTTTGCCCGGGGAGCTCTCTTTCCCATCCCCTCTCGGAGCCCTCCCGTCCCCCCCAGCAGCCCTAACAATTATGAATTCATGGGCCACACAGAAATCCCAACTTTCTCTAGGGAGTCAATTGTCTGATGTTTTGGTTAAAGATGGCCATCATTTTTCTTCCTGCCCATATATTTCCTTTTTAGCAAGAGGAGACTTTCCCCCTGAAATTCCTCATGGAGCCTTCAATCTCTGATCAGCCCTCGGAACCCCTACCCTAGGACACCTTCTGAAATATTAGTGCTGGGCTGTCTTGTGGTGGTGTTACCAAAATAGAGATAATACAGGGCAGTAATGTGATTGCTTGGGATTTGTCTGAGAAGGGGGGATGGGAAACAAAAAGGCACAAATTCAGACAAAGGTCATTGCCAAAGTCATGTTATTTCATTTTAGAAAAATTCAGACAGTCAGCCTTCGCGTTCCTCCTCTGTGTGCTCTGGATTTGACCCGAAGGTTCTGGAGCAGAGAGATGCTGCTCTCCAAGTAAAAAGAGGCTCGGAGTCAGCTGAGGTCTTTTCTCCTTGCTTGTCCTTTTGGAGCTGTTTCCTGACATTACAGTTGGAGTGTGCTCTTCACACGAGGGATATTAAGGTCTCATATCCCAATTTCCTTCTCTGCAAAGTATGCAAATAGCACTGCACACCGGGTAATCACAGGGCTGGGCAAGGTTGATAAAGGAGAGGGTGGGGAATAGGAACGGGAGACCTGAGGACCTACTGTAGGGAGGAATTCTGCTGAGGAAGTAGAGGAACAAGAGCTCTGAGTGTCCTCTCTGAGGATGACAAGTTACTTAAACCAGCCTGTTCCTACCCAAACCCTCCTTTCATCATCTCTCAGCAACTCTCGCAGATAAAAGGCAAGGGGACGTTTTGTTTTTAATTATTCTGGAATGTCCGTGGTGACAGAGAAAATTAGATTTAGCTTTAAAAGTCAAGCACCAGCAAATGTACCCTGCACATGTCCCAAGAGGCTGATTCTGAAATGCGGAGTCTCCAAGAAGCCAAGTGAGTGAGTGAGCCAGAGAGGGGGGAGCATTGTCAACTGTCACCACTAGCAAGGCCAGTTCCAGCATCAAGAACAGCATTCTGCTTCCTAGAATGGGAGGCAGCCTTCCCCTCCCTCACCCAACCCCATTTCCCCCAGCGTTCAGTGCCCGGCTTTCCAAACAGCACAAAGAATGCCTCTTCCCACTGGGTGCCTTCCCTCACCTCTGTGACGTTGCTCATCTCCTCTCATTTCTGCCTCCAGGTTGTGCTGCTCTATGCCTCCACCTACGTGCTGGTGTCCCTCAGCATAGACAGATACCACGCCATCGTCCACCCCATGAAGTTCCTGCAAGGAGGTGAGCTGCCTCAGCCAGCTGCTGTGTTGGAGGCCTGCTATGAAATCTGGACTACGAGGTGTAGTCAAGTGTCATTAAAAATGTGACAAAAGCCAACTTATGGAAAATGGGTGATGTCTTTAAAATTTATACCCAAGGTAGCAAAATTAATAGAGCAAGCAGAATTTTAGACTAAATAGAATGAATGTCATCAGATACTACTGAATACATACTATTGGAGCAGATACTTCGGCAGCTTAACTATAATATATCTAATTAAATATAGTAAAATGTGTAGCCCTTGACATAGAAATTCTACTCCTTGGCATCTTCTCTGGGTGCATGAATACACATATGTGCTGTGTCTTGTAGCATTGTTTAGAATGGCAGAAATCCAGTGCCACCCTGGGTGTCCCTCAGTGGAGGAATGGCTAGCTGTCCTAAAGAAGTTTCAGTAGCTTAGGTGCATGATTGCATGCTATTATATGTGCCATCCATGACTCTAAGTTCTTTGCATATGTTAAACATTTTAATCCTCACAACAGCTCTGTGAGGTAGGCTCTAGTATTATCTGCATCTTCCAGTCTGGGCAATTACAGTTCAGAAAGTAAAAGTAACTTGTCCAAGTTCATGCAGCTTGTAGGTGCATGGGCTGGATTTGAACTCAGATGGTGTGAGTCTAGCTCAGCTGCCTGTGACACACCCTGTCTCTCTCAATGAGGACGTGGTAGAGCCATGGGCAGTCATGTACATTGACATAAAAATGTTTAGTGATACAACAGCATGCAGAGGAAGCCATGCAGAATGATAAGATTAATATACAGACAAAGTCAAAGCAATGCTAGATATGGTTGAGAGAGATGCAGAAGAGAGAATGCAAGAAAAAGGAAGTCCTTACTTCTGGGAATGAGAGTTGGAAAAGCCATAGTGACCACATGCAAAAGGTAATTTTTAACCTGAAACATATCAATTTATTGTGTGCAATTCAAAGTAATTGAGTTTACCTGCTTCGTAGGCTTTCTCTAGGATGTGTGTGTGTGTGTGTGTGTGTGTGTGTGTGTGTGTGCGCCCAGCACCAAGCTTTTGAGCCCTGCCATGCCCTGGGGATTATGGTAGAGAAGAAAGCAGGGGATGGGATGAGGGGAAATGGGAGAGGCAGTCCACAATACATGTATACAGAGGTGTGATACACTTATTTATCCATTCGCGTATGCCCAGCTGGCCCCGGGAAGGAGTGAATGTGGTCTATTAAAAGACACCTCCAAGCATCAACAAAATAAAATAAAATAAAATAAAATAAAATAAAATAAAATAAAATAAAATAAAATAAAATAAAATAAAATAAATGATTTTTTTATTGATACCCGTGGTGCGACACCTCCACCAGCATATTTTAAGTTGAAATAGGAGAAGGAAAAGTATAATACGTATCAGGAAGCGTGTGGGTGTGTCTCAGGATAGCTGCTGGAAGTGGAGAGCCTGGGATCTATAGCCAAGAGGGGAGCATGGTCAGTTACATGTTTCCCCATATTCACTAGGTAAAAAAAAAAAAAAAAAAAAAAAAAAAAACACATTGTTTAGCTCAGAGCAAAGAGGATGAGTTCTGGGAGACACTGTGCAGCATTCTGAACGGCATCCTAAATTACAGGAAAGGCAGCGATGAATAGAGTGTCCTTTTAAATATGTAAAGCCATGTATTTCCTCACTGTGAAATTAGTGAGACCCAGACCTGTCTCTGTTTTCTCTGAGCAGAAAAGCAAGCCAAGGTGCTCATTGCTACTGCCTGGGGCCTCTCCTTCCTGTTCTCCATCCCCACCCTCGTCATATTCGGGAAGAGGAAGCTCTCCAATGGCGAGGTGCAGTGCTGGGCCCTGTGGCCCGATGACTCCTACTGGACCCCGTACATGACCGTTGTGGCCTTCCTGGTGTACTTCATCCCTCTGGCCATCATCAGGTAAGAGGCCCGCAGGCCAGACCCCAAGGGAGCTTTCCTGGTTTGGCAACTGCCACTCTCCTCCCCTAAGCCCACTCACTGTGCCTCGTGTTCTTGGGGGAAGTGGCCGGGCCACATGCTTTTATCTAAAGCTTGTGCTAAGCCCAGCTCCTCCATGTAGAGCAAGGAGCAGGGCACTAACATTTGCTGAGTGTGTGCTATGAGACAGCAATGGGCTAACTGGCTAACAGTTACCCATTAGCCATGCTTCAACTCTATGAAAGAACTACTGCTGTCCCCATTTAATAAATGATGACACTCAAGCTCAGAGAGGTTATAACTGACCCAACATCACACAGGATTTGAACCCAGGTCTGTCTGATTTCACTCCCTGATCTTTGTCCAGCCTTTCAAGTATAAGACATAGTACCAGTTCCAGAGATATTATCACTGAAAAACTAGTTGAAACAAAACTGAGCAAAAACAACAATAACACAAAACATAAGTAGAGTGTGTGTGCCGGAGTCAGGTCATGGCAGGGAGCATTTCCCAGAAGCCACATTGAAGGATAGAAGAACTCAGACAGGAGAAGGGGAAAGAAAGCAGAGGGGCAGTTGGCTCCCTGGTGACTGGAGGTCAGAGTGAGTATGGAAACAGGAAAGGACAGGCAGGCAGAGCCAGTGGGAGAAAAGTTGGCAGTAAGCTCTTTCTGGGGAGGGGGGAGGCTTGCTGGGAAGGGCCTTAGAAACCAAGCCATAGGATGCTCCCTTTGTCCTAAGGCCAATGGTGAGTCAGAGCTGGCCTTTCAGCAGAGAAGACCACAGCTACCTGGACAGGACAGGTCTCACCTGGTGATGTGACAGGACCACCTCTGGAAGGATGGAGTGTATGGTGGGGCTGCAGGGAGCCATCTGGGTGTTCAGTGTGGATGCAGGGCATGCTGATCCTGCCATCCTGCACCCTTTGAGTGTCTCCATGCCTGCCATGGGGTTTCACGTACTTTGTCCTTGGCAAAGGAAACCAGCCTTTGGTAGCATAAACAACTATATATATATATATATATATATATATATATATATATATATATATATACACACACACACACACACACACACACACACACACGGTAAGAGCTAAGTGACCAGAACAACCGGAATGACCAGTCACTATGACGCACACTGCAGCCAGCCAACCCACTTGAAGGGGACAGGGTCAGCTGGCCAACCTCCCACAGCCCTCCCCCCAGCTGGCCCCAACCCAAATCACCCCGATCAGGATGGGCAGCTGGACCCCACCCATGCATTAATTTGTGCACCGGGCCTCCAGTGCTATGATAAAAACTCTTGTTCTTAAAAAAAAAAAAAAAAAAAAAAAAAAAAATCACTGAGTCTCTGATCAGTTCCTCCTAAGTTCTTCTTGTGGATTTACTAAATCAAAAATGATGCTCACTTTAATACTGATATATAATATATTTATCAACTATCCTCGGGGAAAAGGGGTTTCCTGCCAACGGCAAATAAGAACTCTGGCTTTTCTCCCCCTGACCCAATGGGAGATGGTACCATTTCTTTATTAAATCACTAGTGTCCCAGTACAGGATCCATGTACAATGAAGAGAAATTAATTAAAAGAAATGTTTTTATATCACTATTTGTCCTTTCTCTATAATAGAAGTGTCAACCAAATTCACAATCAACAATGACAGATGGAAACACAGGCATGCAATTGGCACCAGTGAGAGTTTTATATGTATTGTGTATGCAGGAGTCAATTTAGCCTTTTATATATATGGAGTAAACTTGCTTAATTAGACCTGCTTTCTGATTTAGCTGAACTTTTCCCAGCCCAGTGAAGCACCCCAACTTCTCTTTCAGGTAATTGTCAGAAACACAGCAGTAAATATCAACATGAAGCAGATTATTATGGTAGATCACGCAGGGAAAACTGAGGGTAAAATATTTAACTGCAGGAGTGTTGACTATATTCTGTGAATGAGAAAACCTGAAGTCATTTTCAAGGTCCAACAATTTTTCTTTTCAGTCAGGTCAAGTTTCTAAGCTTTCTAAATCTCCGTTTTCAGGCTAGTGAAAAGAAAATAGGATTCCACCAAGTCTCCTATCTACCTACTCCAGGACTTCTGTGAGAATCAAATGAAGCACAGAAAAATGCTTTACAGACATTTGGTTAAAGTATAAAATGTTTGCACCTGACTATGAATCAAGTCATGTTCCTGGGCTGAAAAGACTGCAAGGAGCTAGTCGTCATTAGGGAGAGGAAGGCGGATATTGCTATGTGACATCATTACCCGGATGGCCAGACATTTAGCATATTAGCCTTTTATATATATATATAGATTGCCAGTCATAGAGTTTAAAGAAAAGCTATCTCATTGTTTCAATATGCATTTCTTTGATCATTAAGTGGTTAGGTATTGTCCGTTTTCTGATATTATGGGAATCTCTTGTTCTTCCTCTTTGCTCACATTTAGTCTCAGAAAAAAAAAATACTAAAGCTGAATTTTGTACAAGAACAGACTTAGGGCTAAAAGGAATGAAATGGCTTGCTCCCCATCAGAGGTCAACCTGGGCAGTGTGATCCCCATAAGCCAGCCCAGCAGCCTGGCTGAGATTACAGATTGCCCCGTCATTCTGCTCAGTCGATACATTAACCTCTGCAGTTCATTTCAACTTACTATGCTCCTCCCCACCAAGTTGAATTTGGGAGGGATCATGAAGGAGAGATGAAGGTTATTTAGACAACCAATGAAAGGGCAGTCATAGCAACATTAGCAGGGGCACGTGGTGAGGAGAGAGGACTGTCCTAGCCCCAACCCCAGGAAACTATTTGGGAAGAAGAGGCTCAGGCTGTCATGGGCAACTGACTGATCAATTTCGGTGACAGCCACAGGTCCTGGCTTCTCTCCTGATTGATTTCCTGTCAGTTCATGAAATCAGTCAAAGCGCTTGCTCAGCAGGGTGGATGCCTGCGTGCAGCAGTGGCTCCCCCTGTGCTGTCTAGCCGGATCTGCCATGTGGGTCTCTCACTGTCCCCCATTCATTTGAGCTGCTTCTTTGCACCAGGGCTTCTCATCAAACTTACCTACAACCCAACTTGGGTGTTTTTGTGTTGTCTTTGGAAATAGCATACTCCCTGCACGCGCACGTGTACACACACACACACACACACACACACACACACAACATGGACATCTCTGGCCATTTAGTGCCTAAATCCATTTCTGGCAAATGGTAGATCTTCTGTAAATATCTGTGATGGAAAGAAGGAGGGGAGAAAAGAGAGAGGCAGAGAGGAGTCGTACTGTCTGTGGCAAACTCATAAGAGAGCTATGTCTGAATAAAGATGTAGCTGTTCTGTCATTAGCTCAATCAGGCTCCCAGGACTTGAAATCCTCATGAGTAACATTAAAGGCAATGCAGTGTTTTTCTGGGTCAACACCACTCCGTTGTTTTCAAATTCACGTGTCACACCTGTCTCACGTCTCACTGCCGTTGGGGCAGCTGTCAGCTCTGCCGCAGTGCCTTGCGTTGGCTGTGGTTATTCGCTTGCACTTAATTGATACCTCATTCTCCGATCATTTTCATCTCCGTGATATCAGGGCAGAGGCATAAAAGATCCAGGGCTGACAACTGCAAAGGTGTAAGTGGGTAAAAGCATGTTTGGCATGGAGCACTGATTCGTGATCTAATGAAATAAATCTACTTGCTTTTCCTTGGGGTATGGGGACCCGACTGGGAAGCCCATGTGGAGGCTGGCATATTCTCACCCCCCTAACTTTAGGCCACACTATGTATTCGTTTCACCAAGACTTAGATTAAAATTCAAGGACAGTTGAGGCGGTATACATTCCCAGGGTTATTACAATCTTTCATTCTGTCCAGTGCAATAGCTTCCTATCTATTTTACATGCCTATTCCTTATGGCAGTCAGAGCCTTTATTTTGTTTGGAAAAGTGCTAAGCATGCAGTAGAGTATGAAATGAAAGAGAAAAATGTTCCTCCCACATCCCCCTTGCCCCATTCCTCAGAGGCAGCGCTGTTAGGAAAGTCTGGTATACCTTTCCAGGACCGTTCAGATCAGACACCAGGCTCTACATATGTATAGAAATACTACATCCAAACAGGAAAAAGGTTTGATCTTCGAAAAACTGTCAAGCAGTCATTTCACTTTCCTGGTTAGAACCCTTCAGTGAGTTTCCATTGTTTCATGCTAACACTCAAGACCTCCAACCTTGTGTACAAGGCCATCCTCATCTTAGGCCATATGCACACGCTGACCGCCCACAGGCACAGCCAACACCAGCCTTCTTGAAGTTCTTCAATGGTGCCATGCTCCCTCCTGCCTCTGAGCCTTTGCACCTACTGTTCCCTCTGCCTGAAGGATCATCTCCCTCTGCATTTAAAACACCATTTTCCCCTCCAGATCTTAGTTGAATGGTCACCTCCTCTGGGAAGTTGTCCCTGACCCCAGGACAAGTCAGGGCCCCTATTATACACTCGTATATCACCCTACATTATGTCTCCACAGCATTTTGCTCCTTCATAATCATATACAATGTATTATATAAAATATATTGCTGTATTATAGACTATGTGTGAAACTTATACCTATGGGAGGATGGTAATGATCAAGGTGAGGAAGGCCGAGGAAGATGAGGGAAGCTTCAGGTACTCCACATAAGACACTGAGTGTCATCTTGTAGGCAAGAGGGGGTGCTGGAGGGCTCTGGAGTTGGGGGACGGTTCTCTGCCCAGGAGCACCAGCTCCCATGGTGGGGTGAGCATCCAACATGGTAGCAGAGTGGAGGTCTTAGAAGACAGAGGCAGCAATCAGACAGGAGACTAGAAGGGGTACCCATTTCGGCAGCAAGCACACTAAGCTCGGAGTGATACAGAGCAGGCAGCATGGCCTCCAGGTGAGAATAGCACATCCATTCACGAAGCTTTCCATGTTTCTGTGTCTAATGGAGACAGAGCTTCCCTTTGAGAAGATGAAAATGTTCTGGAAATGGACGGTGGTGATGGTTGCACAACAATGTACATGTTTTTAATGCCACTGAACTTCACACTTGTAAAAATGATACATGTTATGTTCTGTGTGTTTGATCACAGTGAAACCCACCGACACACATAAAAAGAGATTGTACGGGTCCTGAAGAGCAGGGATGGAGAGGCAGGGATAGGTAATGGGGACACTTTGCAGGGACAAACCACACAACTTGCTGATTACTTTGAAACAAAAAATGAGGAAGAAAGAGGAGACAGATGTAATTCTGAGGTCTCTCTGATGCCCGACTGCTACAGCCCGAGAAGTGGCCAGATTTGGGTAATAATTTAAAGGGGTGCCCTCCTTACTAGGCATTTTCCTGGTGAAAAGGAAAGCTGGGGCTGGCTTTCTACTTGCCTCACTGGTCCTTTAAAGATGAGGTAGGGCCCGGCTAGTGTGGTTCATTGACCTATGAACCAGGAGGTCACGGTTCGATTCCTGGTCAGGGCACATGCCTGGGTTGCAGGCTCAATCCCCAGTGTGGAGTGTGTAAAAGACAGCTGATAGATGATTCTCCTTCATCGTTGATGTTTCTGTTTCTCTCTCCCTCTCCCTTCGACTCTGAAATCAATATAAATATATTTAAAAAAACAAAGATTAGGTAGGGGTGACTTAGGCCCACACCCCTAACACATAAGACCTTTATTCATTTCCACCATGTATGCGGTTGATGGTCAATAAATATTTGAATTATTGCTCAATTGTTAATAAATATTTGAATTAGTGATCAATTAAGTACTGAACTTGTAATTCTAATATACAGCACCTCGTGTGGCTGTAAACTTTCCTTGGATTTCATTTCCTTGGGGAAATGTTTCCCTGCTCCAACAAATGTTCGACTTAAGTAAAGAATAGACTCACTAGTAATTTTTGTTCTCATTTGTTTCTTTAATGTAGACAGGCAAATTCCAGAAAAATCCCTGGGCAGCTGTCTGAGGGGAAGGGGGGAAGCTCCGAAAAGGCCTCTCGCTTCCTTAGAGCCCACAGAGGGGTTGGCTGAACAAGACAGCAAAGGCATTAAGAAGCAGAGCATTTTAACAGTCATTAATTAAGTTATATTCTAAAGATCATTAAAAGCAATTAGTGCCTTGTCAGCTGCTGCAGACTGGAGCTCCGATTTCTCTCTTAAGCAGTGGTTCTCAAGAGGGAAGCTGATGGAGTTTTAAAATAAAGTAGTGCTTTGCCCCCAAGTTTTTAGTGGAGATACTTAATATATTGGAAATGTCAAATGACATGAAAGAAGGGTATGGATTGTTATATTTACCAAAGGAGACATAGTAAAAAATGTTGCCGCTTTTGAGTCATGACATGTTGATTTCCTGTTACATACATATTATATCACATAAGAGAGATGTGATACTACATGAAAAATGGCAGAGCCAAAACCGGTTTGGCTCAGAGCATCAGCTTGTGGACTGAAAGGTCCCTGGTTCGATTCCAGTCAAGGGCATGTACTTTGGTTGCGGGCACATCCCCAGTGCAGGGTGTGCAGGAGGCAGCTGATCAATGATTCTCTCTCATCGATGTTTCTAACTCTCTATCCCTCTCTCCTCCTCTCTGAAAAATCAATAAAATATATTTTTCTTAAAAAAGAAGAGAAAAATGGAGAAGAGAGGAGGACAGAAAATGACATTTATTGAGTCTCAGATAATTTTCAAGCACTGTGCTTGGCATTTAAAATGTTGTCACATTTGATCCCAGAAATCTCTGAAGAGGTTTATATTGTTAACTCCAATTTCCAGTTTCAACTGGGGCTCACGGCCTTTGTTTGACTACAACAAAATACCACAGACTTCTACTATACACAACAGAAATGCATTTCTCTCAGTTCTGGAGGCTGGGAGTCTGAGGTCCAATGCCAGCAGAGTTCAGCGAGGTTCCTCTTCCAGGCTGCAGACTTCTCTCTGGTGGAATGGCGAAGGTCTCTTCCTAGAAGAGCACTAATCTCATTCATGAGGGCTCTACCCTCTGACCTAAGCATCTTCCAAAGACCCCGCTTTCATATACCATCCCATCGGTCATTAAAATGTCCACATGTGAGTTTTGGAGGGACACATACATTCAGGCTATATTACTCTAATTGCTATGTTATCTATTGTTTGATAACAAATGATCATGAGCCTGATGATTAAAACAACACACTTCATTATCTCATAGTTCTTGTGAGTAAGGAGTCTGTTCATGGCTTATCTGGGTCTTCTGCTGAGATAAGGCATGCACCAAGATGTCAGCCAGGTCTGTGGTGTCCATCAGAGAAGGATCTTTCCCCACCTCTCACAAGTTCTTGGCAGAACTACTCCCCTGGGGTTGGAGAACTCCTGATTCTGCAGCCCCAGTGTGATTCTTCAAAGCCAGCAATGGAGGCAGATACTAGCAAGACAGATGCTACACACCCATGTAACCACGAGCATCCCATCACCTTCATCCCATTACCTTCATCCCATCACCTTCATCCCGTGCATCGATTAGAAGCAAGTCACAGGTCCTGTCACACCCAATGGAGAGGATCACACAGAGGCTGAACACTGGAGGCAGGAACCATGGACTAACATCCAGGACATACCAACAGCAAGCAGTAGAGCTAATTACAAGTCTAAATCTTTCTCACCCTAAACCCTGTGTTTGAATCCTAATCTCAACTATACCTCTAACCACTGGGGTGATTTGAGAGAAATTTAAGGCTACCAGCCTTAGCCTCCTCACTTCAAAAAGTAGCTGCATCCCGCTGATCTTTCTGGAGGCTTTCCGTTGAGTCTACGATCAGCAAATACAGAGCACCCCTCCCATCATACCTCACACTCAGGAAGTGGAAGCGGCCCTCCTTCTGTGTCCTTTGGGCGGGCACCCAGCAGCCATTTATTACCTTTACTCCTTTTCACAGCGTCATCTACGCCATTGTGATCCGAACCATTTGGAGTAAAAGCAAAGCCCACGAGATGGTGATTTCCAACTGCTCGGGTAAGCCTCTAATCTGAATTACCCAACTCTTGGAGGGCTTTGCCTCTGTCGAGGTTTTCCTCTAGAAACAGGAGCTTGGGCTCTGGATACAGCAAGCCTGCACTGTTGTACCAGGCCCAGCAGGCAGATCAGACCCCCATGGAAGTCCCCCCTCCTTTTCCCTTCCAGCCAGGCCCTGCCTCCTCCACCTGGCTTCCTGGAAACGGGGAAAAGGAAGAGGACTGTGAGTCTGGCCAAGCTGTTCCAGCCAAGGGACCTGCTAAGCAGCCTTTGAGCCAGAATCTGGGGTGATCCCATTCTCTCAGGCCTGGTCAGGAGGAGGACATGGGTGAAAAGAGAGGAACGTCCAAGAAAACACCATCCATTCACCAAACACCAGAGTGGACATTTCTATTGAGCTGAATTCACAGATGGAGAAATCTGCCTTTGATCCACAGGGCAATCCTGGACCTAAGCTCGTGGAACAGGGTCCATGCTTTCCCCTGACCCAATACTCCAGCTCCCAGTAGACTGAGCCTGAGATGGTCACGTAACCTCCCCCAATTCTCTTGCACACCCACACGGCATGCACTGAGGTGTTTTATTTGACCCAGGCCTGATTCTAGTGTACAAGGATTCTTCCTGTGTTCCCATAGGCAGAACTTAGACACATGACTATACCCTGCTAAAAAGGAGGCTGGGAAATATGGTCTAGCTGTGGGTCCCAGGGGAAATGATTTGATGAAAGCTAATTTATCTCTGCCACAGTGATTTCAGGCTTGTCAGGGATCTTGGCTCTGCCTGAGCTAAGGAGCTGAGGAACAGAAAAGGCTGTGAGTTAGGTGAACTGGGTCAGTGGTTGGCAAAGTCATTAGTCAACAGAGACAAATATCAACAGTACAATTAAAATTTCTTTTGAGAGCTACATTTTTTAAACTTAAACTTCTTATAATGCCTCTTCTTCAAAACAGACTCACCCAGGCAGTGGTATTTTGTGGAAGAGCCACACTCAAGGGGCCAAAGAGCCGCATGTGGCTCGCGAGCCACAGTTTTGCTGACCACAGAACTAGGTCATACCTCCTCCTAGCTAACCGTGGCCTCTGTTTTGCCAGAAGGTCAAAAAAGAAAAGGAAAAAAACCCTCAGGATGGAAGTGGCCATAGTTTCACAGTTAAGCAGGTGAGACATAATGCACTAAAAACATGTAGCATGCAGATTGGGTTATATTTATAGACAAAGAGACCACCAATGGTCAGAAATCAAAAACAAATTTCATCTTTTAAAAATTGTAGAGATCAGACATACCTTCTTAAAATGTTTAATGGTTTATAATAGATGAACATGAGGTATATAAACTTTCTAACATATGAAAAATATTTATTCTAAAATACTACTAGGTAGATTCCTTGTTAACAAACCACCTGCATTCAGTATAGGTCCACAGATAGCTCCCCCTCCTGGCCACGAATAAATTCTGCCTCATTTAAAATCCCAAGATAACAAGGGCCCCTGGAGTCTCCCCTCCCCTACTCTGGTGTTCAACTCACAGGAATGGATTCCCAGTGGCTCCATTCCCCAGTGTGGGGAAGGTGAGGAGCAGGAGCTGGCCACTTGGAGGCTAATTCCCAGCGCGGGCCCCCTAGGGACTCATGCCTGAGCTGAAACAGCCTAGGGCGGTTTGCAGAATCTAATGAGCCTGCTGCCTCCAGCCTTCCCCAGCTATTAATGCCCAGTGACAGCTGAATGTAACTGCTTTTCACTCCCGCTCAGGGCCAGGGCTGGTGGAATTAATCCTTTTATCTCCCAATAAAGGAGAATTAAGGCGCTTTGTCGCCTGGCGGTGTTTGAAGAGCCGGCCTTAGGAACTGCAGGCTTTGCCTTTCCCAGAGGGGTCTACTGAAGAAAGGTGCTCCTCGCTGATCTTACTGGGAGAGCGAAGGGCAGGTAGCTGCTTGCTGCGCCCAGCTGCTCTGTGCAGAGAACAGTGCGTTACCAGTTTAAGCAGATTTCAGAGCGCAAGTGTCATTCTGGGAACTTTTCTGAAAAACCCACGCTGTCAGCTGCTTCCCCAGCAAACAGGACACTGGGAAAGGAGACAATTTGGTCTGCTGGCTTTTTGACCTGCCTCCCGTGGGCCTAATCTCCCTGGTAATTTTGGGGTGTACGTACTTCCTATACAGAGATAGCAACACTATAGGAGAAACTTTCTAAATGCAGGAAGACCTTCTGTTGGCCTTCCTAAAGGCAGCTCCCAGTCCTCCTGAAACACCATTAAAATTGACATGCTTGCCGAAACCGGTTTGGCTCAGTGGTAGAGCGTCAGTCTGCGGACTGAAAGGTCCCGGGTTCAATTCCAGCCAAGGGCATGTACATTGGTTGCGGGCACATCCCCGGTAGGGGTGTGCAAGAGGCAGCTGGTCGATGTTTCTCTCTCATCAACATTTCTAGCTCTCTATCTCTCTCCCTTCCTCTCTGTAAAAAATCAATAAAATATATATTTTTTTAATTGACATGCTCAGCATAGGGCTTGGCATCTGGACTTCATTATTTTATTTGAATCCTCAAAAAAAAAAACCTGAGAATTTGGTGTTTCACGTCTCATTTTTAAAATTGGGAAACTGAGGCTGGGAGCAGTAGGCAATTTGCCTCTGGTTACATAGCTGGCAATTGGTACAGCCGGGGTTGTATTCCGGTCTGGCTCTGAAGCCTGTATCTTCCCAAGATGCCTCCCTAGCAATCAGGGTTTTTCAGCCTTGGCACTTAACTAGAGCTATTGTGCTGCATTCTGTCCATCACCATTCTTTATTTTACCACTGTTCAACAAGAGAGAGGGAGGTTTGTATTAATTCATTCAACAAATATTAATCACTCAATGAGTTCTGAGGATATCGGAGTAGAAAATACAAAGTTCCTGTCTCCATCAAGCTGACAGTCCAGTGTGTTCTCATACCCTTCAGGGTTGTTTGTTTTTGTTTTTTAATGTCCTTGGTTTGAGCCTTTGTCAAGATTGGAGTTTCTGAGTTAGATGAATGAGTTCGCCTGGGGTGTCCATTCTAAGAAAATGGCTTTGCCCTAGATTGCCAAAGCAATCAGATGGGTGTCTCAGCATCGCCCCTTGTGGTCACATTGCTCATTCCAGCTTCTGCGGCTGACTCCAGGCCTCCCTTGGTTTGCAAACTGTAGCTCGAGAGCCACATGCGGCACTTTGGCCCCTTGAGTGTGGCGCTCCCACAAAATACCACAGCCTGGGCAGGTCTATGTTGAAGAGGTGGCATTAGAAGAAGTTTAAGTTTTAAAAACTGTGGTTCTCAAAAGAAATTCAATCGTTGTACTGTTGATATTTGACTCTGTTGATTAATGAGTTTGCCAACCACTGTTGCAATACATTTGCATCTTATGGTAAGCTGCAAACTGAGCAGTTTCCAACATCCAGCCCAGCGCCATATCTACTCTAAAAATGTCCAAGACGTCCTCCTGGGCATGGGAGAGCAGGATATTCGTGGCCCGGTGCCAGTAGTGGGACTAACTGGCCATGTTCCTCTTGGCAGGAACAGCACTTTATTTGACCACTCCTTCTTTGAATCTGCAGATGGAAAACTGTGCACCAGGTACAACCGAGAGCTCTTCTCAAAGGCAAAAATCAAGGCCATCAAATACAGCATGGTCATCATTCTTGGTAAGCAACGCCCCTGTTTGTGCTTCAGCTCCGCGTGGACTTTCCAAGAGCAAGCTGGTACCCGGGACGCGCTGGTAGGGAGTCCAGAGAGAAAGGGCTTTGTCTGCATGCATACCCATCTCTGTCTGATTGAGAGAGGAATGTGTGAACCTGATCAGCCTATCTGTAGCCCTTCCAAAGGTTACCTTGGGTTCCTAATCTCTCTCTTCATTAATCTCGCTCTGCACCAAGGCCCTGGGGTACACAGTTTGGAGAAAATCTGACCACTAGCTGAAGAGGACGCTCACCATTGCCCCATTGACCCAGGTGCCTACTCTCCCCCAAGGCTGAGGTTGATGAGCAAGAGGAAGACAGATTTGGCAGTTTGTTTCTTCTGGATGACTAATTTCAAGGTCCTTATAAATTCCTCCTTAACGGACACCTATCTTCTCTCTCACTCTCCTGTCTTCTTCCTTTTTCTTTCCCTTGGCCTCTACTCTGAAGACCCATAAAGTCACCTCACCCCTGGGGAAAAAAGGGGGTATTTCTGGAGCACCTAATCTGTGTCAGATTGATGTGTGCTCTTTGTGATCCTCAACCCTGCAAAATGTCCTCTTCCTTAGGCCCTCTCTGCTAATGACCTTGATTCTTATTTCCTTGAGAAATACTACCAAGCAGAATGGAACTTCCTCCCTCTCCTGCCCTCCCAGGCACTGGGGGAAAGAACCTCTTACATGTGCCTTTGTCTTTTCTCCATTGCTGCGGATTCCTCCCCTGCCCAACACGTTCTCTTGAGTCTGCATCTCACCTTCCTCCTCACTCAAGAACATTGTGTCTCCAATTATCTCCTCCTCCCCACACAGATTTCCCTCCGCTGGGTCGCAGGCACATAAACATACAAAATAGCTGCCTGGATGGCCTCTTTAGGAACTGCCCCACTTCACCACGCTCTTGCCAGCACACTTCTCCACTCTTTACCTCTCATTCCCAGAAGCATATTTCTGTCCGCTTTCTTTTCTATTTCTCCAGGAAAACCACCCTTATCAAGGTCACCACCACCTCCAAATGCCAATGTTTATTGTCAATCTTCATCTTATTTGACTGCTAAGCAATATTTGACTAGTTTGTCCTCCACTTCCTTTGTCTAGGAGTTATATCTATTATTTCTACTTCAGAGCTCTACTAGGTGTACCGGTAATAATGCGGATTTTGTGATCAAAGAAAACACGATAATTTCAAGAGCAACGTCAAAAGTGCTTTATCCAAAGTAATGTCCATTGCAAGTTACACATTTCCCTCATCTTTCAGGTAATTTGTGGATACCTTCCCAATAGAACTTTTCTTGTTTTGAGGCAGACTACTCAGAGACCCAATTTTCCACTTCATGGTACATTTTGAAGAGCTGCTCAGAAAGTGTGGGTGCCATCGAACGGAACAAGTGGTAATCTGAAGGAGAAAGGTCTGGTGAATATGGTGGGTGGGTTAATACTTTCCAGGCAAGATCTCCTAATATACTACACCTTCCTGATCCCACCTAACGTAGAGCATTGTCTTCTTCTTAAGCTATTTGGCCTTGCAGTCCATGTTTATGGTTGACCTGGATCAACCCATGATTTTGTGCATTTGGGATTCTCAAAATAAATCCACTTTTCCTTGCCAGTCATAATTTGATGCAAAAAAGACTTTCTTTCATGCCATTGAATCAACATTTTCCTGGTAACTTTTTGGTTTTCCATTTGTCCATTTTTCAGTTGACATGGCACCCATTTTCCTTCCTTTAAAATCTTTCCCATTGCTTGTAAATAATTAAAAATTGTTTACTGAGCAGTGTTTAATCTTTCTGCAAGTTGCTTTTGAGTTTGACAAGCATCTTCATCCAATAATGCTTGTAATTGTTGGTTTTCAAATGTTTTTGGTTGACCTGGGTGTTGACTTTCACATCAAAATCATCACTTTTAAAGCATTTAAACCAGTGTTCACAAGTATCTTGAGATGCATCATGTTCACCATAAGCTTCCCAAAGTATACAATAACTTTTTCTTCAAAATAAAGTAATGAATTAAAACTTCCTGCAAATATTCTTTTTTTAGCACAAACTTCAACATTTTAAAATGTAATAATATCTATGATGTTAACACCTTCAGCAAATTTGACATATGAAGTTTCGAAGCTTCTGTCAATACAACAAAATAGCATACATATCAAATATATATATATATCAACATATATATATATATGTCAACATATGTATAACTCCATCTTTTGGGGGGGAAAACACACATTATTAACCAGTATTTGTATTTCTAATAAGCTTATTATAGGCAACATGGCAAGCCGGAAGTCTTGGCATGCTCTTCTACCCCCTGCAAAGTAATTTTCCCCCCTGGTGTCCTTTCCTCTACCCTCAAGGTTTTTCTGGCTTGTCTCGTAAACAAATCGACATGAGAAGATTAGCAAGAGAAAAGAACCAAATTAATACATACATATGTAAGGGACTCAGGCATCTGTGAGACAGACGCTGCCTGCAGAGAGGTTCTGGGACAGAAAGGGGCCATGTGCATGTCAGGCATCCTGAGCTAGGGATGAAGCAAGGTGCCCTGGGAGCTTCAAAAGGTCATTGCAGGATGTGAAGAGCAGACCTTTAGTAAATAGAGGTCTGCCCTGCCCTATAGGTAGATCAAAAGATAGGTTTCTCCATTGGGTGATTGTAAACAGTTCTCTGCTATGTGAGGGTCCAGCTGGGTACTCAAAGGATGTAAGGGACATGGTAGGACTGCCCTGCTCTAGGCAGGAGAGTTGGCAACCCTGAGAAACCTGAACCAGACACCCCACACCCATCCCCCTTAAATACAACAGCACACACATGGTCCAAGTGCTTCAGAAGGCAATCTCACTCCTCCATGCCCAGCAGTACCTGGGCTTTCAGTAAGGAGTCCCAACAGTGGGCCAATTAGATGCTCTCTTTCCAGAAAGAGAAGCTGCAGGAATGTATCTGTGGGGTGTGTGTGTGTGTGCGTGTGGAGAGAGATTATGTACATGTGTGTGTGAGAGAAAGAGGGATTATGTGTACATGTGTGTGTATGTGTGGGTGAGTGTGTGTGTGAGTGTGTATGTATGAGATAGTGTGTGTACATGTGTGTGAGAAAGAATATGTATGTGTGTGAGTATACCCTGTTTCCCCGAAAATAAGACAGTGTCTTATGCTAATTTTTTCTCCCAAAGTGTGCTAGGTCTTATTTCAGGGGATGTCTTATCTTTCCATGTGCTAGGTCTTATTTTCAGAGGATGTCTTATTTTCAGGGAAACACGGTATGTATGTATGTATGTGAGTGTATATGTGTGTGAACATGTGTGTGTATGTGAGAGTGTGTGTACCTGTGTGTGAGAGTGTTTGTGTGTGTGTGTAAGAGACTGTGTAGGTGTGTATGTACGTGTGAGAGAGAGTATGTGTACGTGTGAGAGAGAGAGAGAGTGTGTGTGTGTGTGTGTGTGTGTGTGTGTGTATGTGTGTGAACCAGGACATTAAGGTTCACGCACAAGATGGTTTTACACATTTCTGAGAGATCCGTGGCACTAAGGATCGTCCCTTGGCGGGGGCCTCGAGGGTGCTGACCACTCACTCCTCCCCAGCCTTCATCTGCTGCTGGAGCCCGTACTTCCTCTTCGACATGCTGGACAACTTCAGCCTCCTTCCCGACACCAAGCAGCGCTTCTACGCATCTGTGATCATCCAGAACCTGCCGGCCCTGAACAGCGCCATCAACCCCCTGGTCTACTTTGCCTTCAGCAGCAATGTCTGCTTCCCCCGCCGGTAAGGGGTGCCAGCCACGTCACTCGTTGGACAAAGTGGAGCCCAGGCCCAGGCCATGGCCCGTGCTCTTTGTCTTAGACCACAAACCCTCTACAGTGAAGATCCTCCCCGGGTCACACAGAGAGGACCCTTCCTTGCGCCAAGCATGTCCACAGGAAGCGCCCCAGACATGGAAGGACACGGAGTGTGACGACCACTTCACAGATAAGCACACAAAGGCCCACCCATCAAGTGGCATTGCTGAGCTCAGAGGAGTGACTAGTAGCAGAACTCCCACAGCTCTATTCATTTTGCTGTTTTTCAGCTGTTTTCCTGCACGAACTCCAGGGAATAGGAGGCGACACTCAGAGGAAATAGAATAATAGGATGCTTTAAGGCTGGGTTGGATCCCAGTGGCTGAGGTTCAAATCCTTCCATTGTGGATCCATAGCTACCGTGACCTTGGATGAGTTATCTAACGTCCATAATCCTCAGTTTGCTCACCTGTAACATGGGGCTAACAGCAGGGCCTACCTCTTGGCCAGTGATGTCTGCTCATAGGGCTCTGGTATTGATCTGAGGGAATGAGGACTGTCATTGGTGGGGAAGAAAGAGCAGGGGTATGACATGGAGAGTGCTTAGCACAGTGCCTGATCCCTAATACATTCTTCCTAACTATTACCTCTTCAAGTTCCCACTCCCCTTTCCACTAAGTCCAATTATTTTCCCTTTCTGCTTTATTCTTTCTCTAGGGAGCGGAGATCACGGGATTCCAGAACCACCTGTCGGGAGAAGGTTGAGAGGCACGAAATGCAGGCTGTGTCCAAGCCAGAATTCATCTAGACCCCAGGGCTGTGGCAGGGCTGCACCCCACCAGCTCTCCTGGGTCCCCGTCACTACCCGAGCATGTGCATGGAGCCTGGGCTGATTCCTGCGGCTTTCCTAGGCGCACTGTCTTCGCAAGCTCTTCTGCATGTCACTGGCTGCTATTGTCTACCTAGCACCTCGGCCAGGAAGCGCTGGTGGGTTTATTTTGACAAGTTTAGAGATTGGTATTTATAAGCATCATCCAAGGGAAATATGACTAAATGTTTTCTAGTCGACTTTTACCATTGGATTTTTCCATAAGTGGAAAAGGAAGAATTTAATTTGATTATATATACATCCCCGCCCACAGCTCTGGGACGCGCGTGAGCGTCTTATTTTTAGCTTCTCATAGATTCTTGACATTAAAATCTCCTTGGCAGAATCCTCCTTCCCAGAATGACTCCGAGCTCAACTTTTTTACTTTTTTTTTCTCCTTCTGCTGGTGGAGTCATTAACACGTGCGGTATGTGTTAATGGCACTCCATTCCTCATTATGGGGTGGACCCCGAGACGGCGTGTTTAAGGTCACAATGGCATTTTTCCCATACATTTCTCTTTTCAATTCCATATGGCCTTGGGGAAAATCTCTTTAGGCAGAAATCAGATTCCTCCATCACTATATTTCTGAGAATTATTTTCTGAACCTGAATGCCTGAATACCTTGTCTAATAGAGAGTCTTGAAGGCCACTTCCCTCCCCACTGACCTCCATGTGAGCAGCCTGGGAAGCGCAGAAAGGCTGAGAAGTACTTTTTCACATTTCACTTTTAATCAAGATGGGCCCTGAAAGACCCACGGAATCACTGCTCAGTTAATCGCCTGCATGGGTGCCAATGAACAGAGCAAAACCCGGCCAGCGTCCTGACTGGCAGAACAGGAGGCCTGGGGTCTCCTGACAGTTCTCAGTCTCTGTCAAGATCAGGGCTGCCTACCTCATCCCCCCGTCCATTCTGAAAGTTAAGGGGAGTGGGAAGGGCTTTGTGCTCTTGAGAGGCCCTGAACATGACATTGTGGTTGTAGTGCTGTCTCTCCCATCCCCTCTGAAGACTGCAGATCAGCCGGACAGTGGGGCGGGTGCAGAATAAGCTGCCATTCAACTGAGGCCTGTTTCATGTCGACATGAACCCTGGAATCCTCATGTACGTGGATTTGCTGAGCTTGGCAAAGCATGATTTAAACGTGACGAGAACCCTGATCATGGCCAGTCCTTATGACTTTGCACACATCCATCACTGAATGTTTCTGGGCATCAATTGTCTCATCTGTCAGACAGAGGCAGGATAGTAAGAAACTGGGGAGATTTCTTGGCAAATGGAATGGAGAAACTGAGGCAGACTGCTAGGCAAACTGGCCAAGGAATGTACAGCAGATGCAGAAGGCCACTAGGGTGGACAGCTTTATCCGTCTAACCACGGATAAATCTGGTGCCAGACCTCACCTCCAGGTGGCCTTTCCTCCCCTGGCTTGTCACTGGCTGGGTGAGTTTGACCCCCTGACTTTCTGTATCACTGGTCATGAAATGTAGGCCCCAGACTTTTCCTCCTGAGAGATAGCATCTAGGCCCCAGGTGTTTTTCAGCTCCAGGCCAGAAAAGCAATAAAACCAGGCAGGGGACCCCAACCAGCTGCATTGACTTGCCCTGGTGCTGACCAATCACTAGAGATCAAAACCCATCCTCCCCTAAGACCTTCCTGAACCCCCAGACTTTAAAACCCTCAAGGACCCAGCTCACATGCTCATGCCCACTCGTTTCCCTGCCCCTCTCCTTCCCCCACAGGCATGCATCTCCTAAACTCTAGACCGTGGTCAACAAACTGCGGCTCATGAGCTACATGGGGCTCTTTGGCCCCTTAAGTGTGACTCTTCCACATACCATGGCCTGGGCAAGTCTATTTTGAAGAAGTGGTGTTAGAAGAAGTTTAAAAAAAAAAAATTGGCTCTCAAAAGAAATTTCAATCATTATTCTGTTGATGTTTGGCTCTGTTGACTAATGAGTTTGCTGACCACTGCTCTAAGGAACCCCACAAGACTTGCAACCAGGGAGCCATGGGTGGCAGCAGCTCGTCCCTGGCAAAGCCCCTGAACCTGTCCCCAAGGCCCCCTTTCCTCTGACTCTCCAGTGAGCTATGCGCCCCTGCCTATGCTCTCCCATTGCTTCTTCCACCCTAGGCCCACCCTTGTTTCACTGGCCCCGCTTTAATAAATGCGCTCTCAGAATCACTTGGACTCACTTGTGAAATCTTTCCCGCATGAAGGCAAGAGCCCACACACTGTCAGCCTCCCAAGGCAGACCCGCACAGGGCCAGTCCCCATTCTGGTAACAAGATGAGAACAGAATGAGGCTGGAGCAGAGGGTGGAGTGTGTCCTTTACAGATACGGGTTCTGAGATTGAAATGAGTTACAGTGAGTTACATCACATCCTGTGAGAGCTTCTGGGATTCTTTCCCAGGGCCTCAGTGTCTGGATGACTCGGCTCTTATTCATTTGCCCTTTGGAACGTATAACTTCCCTATCATCACTATGATGTCAGAGAGACATGGTTTCCCAGACAGGAGCACATGGGAAGCTTATGCTGCAATGTCACTATTGGTAGCCTTGGGGACCAAGTGGGTCCTGGTCAGAGGGTGTAATATAAAGAGGTTTACTTCCCACATTGAGATAAGGAAGAAATCTGTTACATTGACATATCCTCAGGCACAGCCACACTGTAGGAAAGAAGTGTTTTCACTCTACTGGACTAAGTTAAAGATGAATGGTTAAAACTTCTCTGCTTTTGTAGGAAGCATAACTTAAGTTTAATCTCACCAAGCAACATCTTCACCTATTTTCCCCCACCTTTTTAATGGATTTAGCTTGTGATTAATCGTGATGGGGAGAAAAAAGTAACCCTCTTAAACTGAACAAACACGTAGTTTAAACTGCCTTCCTCACTTGAGTCAGACAGCTCTGTCCACACATACAGGGGCTTTGCCTCTTCCTTCCACATACATCGTGTGGAGAGGGACCACACGGCTGTGTCTGCTGAGGAAACACAAGCAGGTTTAGCAGGAAATAAAGTCATTCTACTCTTGTAGGATCATCCCAGGTGAGCTGGCAACTAAGCTATAGCATGGAAAACATTTGCAGCACAAATAGTTGTCCAAGATTCTGTATTTAGAATATCTAGAAATTCAAGCAAATCAATAAGAAATGACAATAGAAGACAAATAGAAATATGGGCAAGACTTTAGTTCAGAAAAGAGGTTATCCAAATGGCCAATGGATATAAGGAAAGGTGTTTAATCTCATTCAAAGTCAGGGAAAAGGAGAGTAAACCACAATAAGATACTAATTTGCACCCACTAGATTGCCAAAAATGATAGGTGTTAACAATATCAGTTGATTACGAGGATGTAGCTCATCAGAAATTCTCATTCTGTTATAGTAGGTAAATAATTAGTACCATGATTCTGGAAAATTATGGTCTTTTAACTAGTAAAATTAAGATTATGTATACCACCTGATCTAGAAATTCTGTTCCTAAAAGCACATACTACAGAAGGAGAGTACAACTGTGTGTATATATGTGAAAGAACATTCATAATAGCATTGGTTATAAGACCCCCAACTAGAGGCAAAACAAGTGCCCACCGACTGTAGAATAAACAAACAGATTATGTTATATTTCACACAATGGACTACTTTACACCAACAAAAATGAAAAAAAAAAATAACACAGTTACTTGCCACAACATGCAAAATATCTTTAAAAACATATGGTAAAAGAAGATAGATATCAAGAGATACTATATGGCTTCATTTATATAACTTCAAAATCAGCCCAAATTAAACAATTGTGTTGGGTGATGCACTCATAGAAAGGTGGTAAAATTCTAAGTCACAGCCACAAAATTCCTCTTTATACATCCAGGATTGGGGCCCTCTAGGCGGAGAGCCTGTTTGGCAGGGGGCACGCAGGTTCTATTCCTCGATCTGGGCGGCAGTTACCAGGGTGCCCTCTCTCTAATTTCCTGTTCGTCTATATATACTTACGTTTTGTGCATTTTATGAATGTGTTCTAGGTCACAATGAAAAGTGTTTCCATAACTTTTTCTAAAGCCCTTTGGAAAGATTACTCTGGAAGGAATGTATATAGAAAAGGGAACCAGACTGGAAACAGGAAGGTCATGAGCGGGGTCTCGATTACAAGCTTGAAACAGCGGTGATGGCTGACAGGTCAGTCCTCTGGGCCCCTCCTCTGCAACGTTAGCATCCAGCGCTAGGGACAATGTGCCAACGTTTTTCACAATCTGCAGATACTTCTTGGCTGACTCCTTGCCTTGAGAGTCAGGTCATCAGAAATTAATATCGTCCTCTGTTCTCTTGCTTGTCTAGGGGACCTGAGGTCCTTAAGTTCTTGTTACCAGCCCCCCCACTTTCATATCCTCCCAAAATCTCTGCCCCTCCTGTCCCCATCCTTTCTGCCCTTCCTCATAACTCAGAGTGGAGCAAGAATATAATACACCTGCTAAGAAGTTACTCCCAGAACCCACCTAAATGCAGGAATCTTTGGGAGAAGGTTTACATGTAAATAGGGAACATTGGAGATGGTGCGACTTACCCCCCAAAGAACTAAATCACCCAAGGTAGGGACTTTAGGGCTGAATAGGCAGCTGGGAGAAATGCTTCAGGCCAACAGCATGCGACCCACACATCCCCGTGACTACCTGCCAGCTTTCAAGCAGGTTGACTCAACAGTACCAAACCCGTCTGTGTTGCAGATCATGCAAGGAGTTTTTTAAAATACAGATTTCTCACTCCCCAGCCCCAGAGATGGTGACTAGTTGGGTTCTGGGCAGAGCATGGAAACCTGTGCGTGTATAAGCCACTCGGGAGATTCTGATGCCGCTATTCCATGGGCAGGTGTGTCAGAGCCAGTGACCAATAGCATGCCAGTGGTTAAAGCCCAAATTTCTCAGGGCCAGGGCGTGGGCAGG